TCAACAGAAGCCGTAAAAGTTTCCGTCCTGTGTGACGCCATGACTGACGCTAAATCACGCACAACGATGACGGTAGTTGTTTGCATTTCTGACTAATTCTCTTTGTTACATTGGAAAACATGGTAAACAAATAACAGTACGCAGATTGTCAGAATCTTTCTGATTACTTACGTGACACATTTATGTGTATACGATCCCTCAATCAACGAAAACCTCCTCTGGAAATCCCGCGTACTGTTGTCATTGAACACGCCATTTTGTAAAAGTCGGTCATCGGTAGTGATGTCATACGGAAGTAAACATTGTTGTACATATTTGGTAATTTCTTTGAGGTGTAAACTTTCAACTTGGCACACAGCGTGTTCTTTGTTTTTGTCTAGTTTGCATTCTCATCATCGCCTTGATAATCCACATACGGAAACCTTTTTGTGTAGGATCACATTATTTATGAGTAGTAAGCAGCACAAAGGATGACGTCACTTATGACAGTGGTGTTATGTATTAATGCGCTACAGCAATCATGGGAATAGACAAAATTCATCGGTTCGATGCTAATAAGGTGCAATTTTAGGGTGTGTAAGAAACAGATTACTGCACTGGTGTCTGTCAGATACCATTGATCTTACAACTCGTTGTTACAAAGCGTATCTAACTCGCTTTCGCTCGTTAGATACGTTTTGAAACAACTCGTTGTAAGATCAATGGTATCTGACAGAAACTCGTGTAGTAATCTCTATAAGTTCCACTGGACCCGACCCCTTCATTTACTATTGGTGGAGACAGTAAAGGTGATGACTGAACGATCAGATTTATATCCGGGAAGAATTGCTACACCAGTTGAAGCGTCAGAGTCTTGTTATTTTCCACCATATGTGTTTCCTATAATCTTCACGAAACTCACGCCAACAGTCAAATATAAATTATCCACTTTTTACATCAATGATTGTCTTGCTTTAAAAAAGTTTAAGTCTTCTTTAGTCTTCTTTCATGTCATGTGTATGTATCACCTCAGTACCATATTGAACACGCAATGTGTTTTGTTTCAGTATCATATTGACCATGTCATGTTTATCAGTTCAGTATCATACTGTTAATGATATGTGTATCATCTCCTTACCATCTTTAGCATGCCATGTGTATCGCGTCAGTATCGAATTGATCATTTCATGTGTATCGGTTCAGTATAATATTGATCATGTCATGTGTATCGCCTCAGTATCATATTGATCATTTTTGTGTATCGCCTCAGTACCATATTGAACATGCCTAGTGTATCGCGTCAGTATCATATTGATCATTTGATATGTGTCGCCTCAGTATTATGTTGATCATGTCATGTGTATAGGTTCAGTATCATATTGATCATGTTATGTGCATCGCCTTAGTATTTTATTGATCATTTTATGTGTATCGCTTCAGTCCAAAATTGAAGATGGCGTGTGTGTCACCTCAGTCCCATATTGAACATGCCGTGTGTATCACCTCAGTTCCATATTGAACATGCCGTGTGTATCGCCTCAGTCCCATATTGAACATGCCGTGTGTATCATCTTAGTTTCATATTGAACATGCCGTGTGTATCACCTCAGTGTCATATTGACCATGCCGTGTGTATCCCCTCAGTCCCATATTGAACATTCCGTGTGTATCACCTCAGTGTCATATTGATCATTTTGGGGTATCGCCTCAGTACCATATTGAACATGCCTAGCTTATCGCGTCGGTATCATATTGATCATTCGATGTGTATCGCCTTAGTATTATACTGATCATTTTTTGTGTATCGCTTCAGTCCCATACTGAACATGCCGTGTGTATCACCTCAATGTCATATTGAACATGCCGTGTGTATCACCTCAGTCCAATATTGAACATGCCGTGTGTATCCCCTCAGTACCATATTGAACATGCCGTGTGTATCGCTTCTGTACCATGTTGAACATGTCATGTGTATCACCTCAGCACCATATTGAACATGCCGTGTGTATCGCTTCTGTACCATGTTGAACATGCCGTGTGTATCACCTCAGTCCCATATTGAACATGTCGTGTGTATCGCCTCAGACCCATATTGAACATGCCGTGTGTATCACCTCAGTCCCATATTGAACATGTCGTGTGTATCGCCTCAGACCCATATTGAACATGCCGTGTGTATCACCTCAGTCCCATATTGAACATGCCGTGTGTATCACCTCAGTCCCATATTGAACATGTCGTGTGTATCACCTCAGTCCCATATTGAACATGCCGTGTGTATCACCTCAGTGTCATATTGAACATGCCGTGTGTATCACCTCAGTGTCAAATTGAACATGTCGTGTATTCCCTCAGTCCCATATTGAACATGCCGTGTGTATCACCTCAGTCCCATATTGAACATGTCGTGTGTATCCCCTCAGTCCCATATTGAACATGCCGTGTGTATCACCTCAATGCCATATTGAACATGCCGTGTGTATCACCACAGTGTCATATTGAACATGCCTAGTGTATCGCGTCAGTATCATATTGATCATTTGATGTGTATCGCCTTAGTATTATATTGATCATTTTTTGTGTATCGTTCAGTCCCATACTGAACATGCCGTGTGTATCACCTCAATGTCATATTGAACATGCCGTGTGTATCACCTCAGTCCAATATTGAACATGCCGTGTGTATCCCCTCAGTGTCATATTGAACATGCCGTGTGTATCACCTCAGTGTCATATTGAACATGCCGTGTGTATCACCTCAGCACCATATTGAACATGCCGTGTGTATCCCCTCAGTGTCATATTGAACATGTCGTGTGTATCCCCTCAGTGTCATATTGAACATGCCGTGTGTATCGCTTCTGTACCATGTTGAACATGCCGTGTGTATCACCTCAGTCCCATATTGAACATGCCGTGTGTATCACTTCTGCATCATATTGAACATGTCATGTGTATCACCTCAGTATCATATTGATCATGTCATGTGTATCACCTCAGTGTCATATTGAACATGCCGTGTGTATCATTTCTGTATCATATTGAACATGTCTGTGTATTCCTTTGTGTCATATTGAACATGCCGTGTGTATCACTTCTGTATCATATTGAAGATGCCATGTGTATCACCTCAGTGCCATAACGAACATGCCGTGTGTATCACTTCTGTATCATATTGAAGATGCCATGTGTATCACTTCTGTGTCATATTGAACATGTCATGTGAACGTACATATTTCAGGGTTAACTCAGTGTTTAATTGAACATGTCATGTGTACGTACAGATTTCAGGGTTAACTCAGTGTTTAATTGAACATGCCGTGTGTACGTACCGATTTCAGGGTTAACTCAGTGTTTAATTGAACATGTCATGTGAACGTACAGATTTCAGGGTTAACTCAGTGTTTAATTGAACATGTCATGTGTACGTACAGATTTCAGGGTTAACTCAGTGTTTAATTGAACATGCCGTGTGAACGTACAGATTTCAGGGTTAACTCAGTGTTTAATTGAACATGTCATGTGAACGTACAGATTTCAGGGTTAACTCAGTGTTTAATTGAACATGTCATGTGTACGTACAGATTTCAGGGTTAACTCAGTGTTTCAGGCAGGGAACGTTAGCTTCACGATGGCGATCAGAATTGTCAGATTTCCCAAATGCAAATTCCTCACCTGCCTTAAGATTTAGTGGTAAGGCACACATGAAGCAAGACTTGACATCCACTAGGACAGATACACAGACAGACAGACAGACACACAGCCATATATACAGACACATAGACACACAGACAGACAGACACACACAGTCAGACAAACAGACAGACAGACAGAAATACATACAGACACATAGACACAAAGTTAGACACACACAGACAGACACACAGAGTCAGACAGAGAGCCAGCCAGACAGACAGACAGAAAGACGGACAGACAGACAGAAAGACAGACACAAACACACACACACAGACACACATACACACAGACACACACAGAAACATACACAGGCACAGACAATGACACAAACAGACACAAACACACAGACACTCACACAGACACACACACAGAAACACACACAGACACACACACACAGAAACACTCACAGACACGGAAACACACACAAACACACACTCAGACACACACACACAAACACACACAGACAGACACACACAGACACAAAGACACATACACACACAGAAACACACACACACCGACACACACACACAGACACACACACAGAAACACTCACAGACACGGAAACACACACAAACACACACTCAGACACACACCACAAACACACACAGACAGACACACACAGACACAAAGACACATACACACACAGAAACACACACACACCGACACACACACAGACACACACACAAAAACACTCACAGACACGGAAACACACACAAACACACACTCAGACACACACCACAAACACACACAGACAGACACACACAGACACAAAGACACATACACACACAGAAACACACACACACCGACACACACACACAGACACACACACAGAAACACTCACAGACACGGAAACACACACAAACACACACTCAGACACACACCACAAACACACACAGACAGACACACACAGACACAAAGACACATACACACACAGAAACACACACACACCGACACACACACACAGACACACACACAGAAACACACAGACACACAACACAGACGCGTAAAAAAAACACGCAGACACAGACACACACACAGACAGAGACACAGAGACACACACAGACACACACACACACACGTTATTATATAAGTGCAATAATCTTGGACACGCCGTTAAACACCATTTCACCCCAACTCCTAAAACGACCCCATTGTTTGGCTTCCTTGGTTGATACAAGTTGGAGTTGTAGTGTGTGTTTCCTTCCCTCTGTACTGATGCGCCAGTCACCTGATTGTCAAGTTCTAGTCCTTGAAATGACACTGCTGGGCTGTTTATTCTGAGGAATGTCTATAAACAAAACAAACTGGTACAGAGAATGTGGGATGTTGTATTTAGGAATGGTTGTACTTTTACACGTTACCCCATCACAAAATATCTTCATAAATTTACAATGCTTTTACATTTGTAGCAAATTTTTACAGGCCCGAAACTATCCAAATAGCATACTATATGTTCTATTCAATTTCAACGTGTGTTATTTTGTAAACTGATAAAGTAATCACAAATCAAAACATTTTCTTCAGTAACTTCAACAACATCGCACTAATGTTTCCTTGTAAAGACAGCACAGTCAATGAGGGGCAATTGATACAACACCATTGATCAGGGCTATTGATGCAACAACTTGTATTTGGACTATTGATACAACACCGTTCATTGGGACTATTAATACAACACAGTGGATTGGGACTATTGATACAACACCATTGGTTGGGACTATCGATACAACACCATTCATTGGGACTATTGATACAACACCGTTCATTGGGACCATCGATACAACACCGTTCATTGGGACTATTAATACAACACAGTGGATTGGGACTATTGATACAAGACCATTGGTTGGGACTATCGATACAACACCGTTCATTGGGACTATTAATACAACAAAGTGGATTGGGACTATTGATACAACACCATTGGTTGGGACTATCGATACAACACCATTCATTGAGACTATTGATACAACACCGTTCATTTGGACTATTGATACAACACAGTGGATTGGGACTATCGATACAACACCATTCATTGGGACTATTGATACAACACCGTTCATTGGGACTATCGATACAACACCATTCATTGGGACTATCGATACAACACCATTCATTGGGACTATTGATACAACACCGTTCATTGGGACTATTGATACAACACAGTGGATTGGGACCATTGATACAACACAGTGGATTGGGACTATTGATACAACACCGTTCATTGGGACTATTGATACAACACCGTTCATTGGGACTATCGATACAACACCATTCATTGGGACTATTGATACAACACCATTCATTGGGACTATCGATACAACACCATTCATTGGGCCTTTCGATACAACACCAGTCATTGGGACTATTGATACAACACAGTGGATTGGGACTATCGATACAACACAGTGGATTGGGACTATTGATACAACACCATTCATTGGGACTATTGATACAACACCGTTCATTGGGACTATTGATACAAAACCATTCATTGGGACTATTGATACAACACCATTCATTGGGACTATTGATACAACACAGTGGATTGGGACTATTGATACAACACCATTCATTGGGACTATGGATACAACACCATTCATTGGGACTATCGATACAACACCGTTCATTGAGACTATTGATACAACACAGTTGATTGGGACTATTGATACAACACCATTCATTGGGACTATTGATACAACACAGTGGATTGGGACTATCGATACAACACAGTGGATTGGGACTATTGATACAACACCATTCATGGGGACTATTGATAGAACACCGTTCATTGGGACTATTGATACAAAACCATTCAGTGGGACTATTGATACAACACCATTCATTGGGACTATTGATACAACACAGTGGATTGGGACTATTGATACAACACCATTCATTGGGACTATGGATACAACACCATCCATTGGGACTATCGATACAACACCGTTCATTGAGACTATTGATACAACACAGTGGATTGGGACTATTGATACAACACCATTCATTGGGCCTTTCGATACAACACCATTCATTGGGACTATTGATACAACACAGTGGATTGGGACTATCGATACAACACAGTGGATTGGGACTATTGATACAACACCATTCATTGGGACTATTGATACAACACCGTTCATTGGGACTATTGATACAAAACCATTCATTGGGACTATTGATACAACACCATTCATTGGGACTATTGATACAACACAGTGGATTGGGACTATTGATACAACACCATTCATTGGGACTATGGATACAACACCATTCATTGGGACTATCGATACAACACCGTTCATTGAGACTATTGATACAACACAGTGGATTGGGACTATTGATACAACACCATTCATTGGGACTATTGATACAACACAGTGGATTGGGACTATCGATACAACACAGTGGATTGGGACTATTGATACAATACCATTCATTGGGACTATTGATAGAACACCGTTCATTGGGACTATTGATACAAAACCATTCATTGGAACTATTGATACAACACCATTCATTGGGACTATTGATACAACACAGTGGATTGGGACTATTGATACAACACCATTCATTGGGACTATGGATACAACACCATCCATTGGGACTATCGATACAACACCGTTCATTGAGACTATTGATACAACACAGTGGATTGGGACTATTGATACAACACCGTTCATTGGGACTATTGATACAACAACGTTCTTTTGGACTATTGATACAACACCATTCATTGGGACTATTGATACAACACCATTCATTGGGACTATTGATACAACACCATTCATTGGGACTATCGATACAACACCATTCATTGGGACTATTGATACAACACCATTCATTGGGACTATTGATACAACAATGTTCTTTGGGACTATCGATACAACACCGTTCATTTGGACTATTGATACAACACAAGGTGTATTGGGACTATTGATACAACACAGTGGATTGGGACTATCGATACAACACCGTTCATTGGGACTATCGATACTACACCGTTCATTGGGACTATCGATACAACACCGTTCATTGGGACTATTGATAAAAACAACATTGATTGGGACTATTGACGCAACCCCATTGACTGGGGCCATTGATACAACAACATTGATTTGGACGAACGAATACACCAACATTGATTGGACTATGGATACAACAACATTGATTGCAACTGACGAATAGACCGACATTGATTGGGACGAGTCATTCAACAACTGGTGGGGTAACAACATTGATTGGTGATATGAAAATATTGATTTAGATTGCTGGTTCAATAAAAGCGCGAAAACCCTTTCCATAAGCACGAGAAATCGATTAGAATAAGAGTCTATTTTGTGATTCCGACTGAAGCATGAACATGTGTTCATGAAACACTATCAAATAGGGAAGATACCAACTAAGCGTACCTTACCCCATCGTTGCAACCCGCCAAAACACATGCACAGTCAAGTCAATTGTTCTCCTAAGGGAACATATAAGGGAACATATGACTAAAAATAGTACAAATAGGAAATTGCATGTGAGATCATTTTGTCACGGAAGTGTCAAATTTAGAAATATCCTCCCCATGTCGACCTTCAAGATTTTCAAAGCCTTTTTGAGATGTCGAATATAACCTTTGTCAAACAGCAGCAGTCGTATGACGCTCTTTGAAATCTTAGTAGAAAGAGCATGCTCGATTGTACCTCAAAAGTTGTGAAATGTAGACACCAAAGGCTGGAACTGTTGGATTATTGTTCAACATAAAAATAATAATAATAATGATTTTATCAGCAACAAACTTTGTTCCAATATAATTTATTTATATATTTTGGTGCATTGTTGTAATAAAGAGAATTATCTGGTTGTGCTGATGTTGCTGAAAACGTATCTGGTCTCAATACAAAATCCAAGTCCCCAGTAAAATATCAAACAGTCGGCCCTTTATAAGGAATAATATTACACTGAACTGATGTCAAAACATATCTTTTGATGCATGCAAAGCAAATGTGAGAAGCGAAATCAGCACAGCTCATTACTAATATGGTATATATCTCCATGTGGAGAGTAAATGTGCGAGTCATCATCTGAAATCAGCACAATACATAGCCTTTGTGGCCTATCTCCTCATGTGACAGTAAATGTGAGAGTCAGCAGTTGAAGTCAGAATAGCTCATAATCAATGTGGCCTATCTCTTCATGTGGACAGTAAATGTGAGAGTCATCCCTTGAAATCAGCACACCTCATAACCAATGTGGAAACTGTGCAGTGCGGTGAAACCCCAAAGCCCGACAAGTCGAACACCTTCTCCAGTGAAAGGGGGACTCAACTGGTTGGTCATCAACTGGAGTCTGTATCAACTGGAGTCCCATCGCCATATGTCTGGAACGACAAAGATGCAGTTGTCATTACTGATTGATAATCTCACATTATTTTATGAATCTTCACACGTGTGTATTACTTGGATGATAGGGTTGAAGTTATTTTTTAAGTTTCGTCATGTCCCAAAACCAAATTTGTCCATGTAGAGGCACTGTGAACGCATGAAAAATAGTTATTTGTAGTCAAAATACAAACAATAATACACGTTCGTTGTGCCGGTGTAGCAGACTCAAATCGGTTCCTTAATATGGCTCAGGTCACTCCCCTCTACTTGGCCCAAAACATTCCCTCAGGTGTCGGATCACTCCCCTTTGACTCAAATCAACACCTTACTTTTTTACTGACTTCTGCTTCTCCTTTCCAGATGTTCTCATGACCTTTTTCTAACCCGAAAAGGGAGCAGCAGATTGTTTAGTCGTCGACAGATATTAATATGATATTGAAGATCCGGGGTAGAATAGGTCTTCAGCAACCCATGCTTGCCGTAAAAGGCGACTATGCTTGTCGTAAGAGGTGACTAACGGGATCGGGTGGTCCGCTGACTTGGTTGATGCATGTCATCGGTCCCAATTGCGTGGATCGATGCTCATGATGTCAATCACTGGATTGTCTGGTCCATACTCGATTATTTACAAACCGCCGTCATATAGCTGGAATATTGCTGAGTGTGGCGTTAAACAACAATCAAACAGACAACATTGATATTTGTGTACAATAGGAAGGTGTGCACGAAATGATTTATATATATTACTGTTAATTTAACATGTGACATCAATCGGCCGTTACAATTCTGAAAGAATATTTTACTCTAAAAAGTGTCACATCCCTCAAATAGATAGGTTATAAGTCGCTTTATTCCCAATTCAGTGCTGTTTTTCTAATCACAACAATCATACGGTTATGTTAAACTTCGAGGTAAGAAAATAATAAGATACGCCCGTGCAACTTTGTATACCAATATACAATGTGTATATATATATATAATTTCTTCTGGTACTTCCTTTTGAGAATATGTTATTTGATTTGGATTTCTTAATACTAGAAATGAGACGAAACGATAACTAAACTCTTATAGTCACGTAAATGCAACAACTGTATAGTGTTATAGTGTTACATCATGTGTAGTGTTGTTTTTTGTTTTTTTTCGATACGGATATTTGAAGATAACAAATAAATATGAAAACTATATTTTGTTGTCAACTTAAGAATACCTTCAACATTGCATATAGCAGATAGTCCTGTAATGCGTCACCAAACGAACACGTCCATTATTTCAGTATGGTGTTACATGTACATACGACGGTCACATTGACTATTTAAAAGCAATTCGCTCCTGGCTTGAAGGGAAGTAAAACGGTAAACACATCAACTTCTGTTTGTTAAACCTTTTGTGTGTGTATTAACAAAGGGAGACGTGACTGTCTAATTGTCATTTCTGGTGAGTAATTAATATTGTAACTTTTGTTTACCTGAATGACAAATTAATTAAAACAAATTAGCTAACCTCTTGCTGAAATGTGTGGCCAGGTCAGTATCAAATACAAACATGTTACTTGGTATTATGTAATACCATATATAGTTAATAAACCAATATTCTCGTCGTCAAACCGTTGTTGTAGAAAAATAAAACCTCAATGCCAGAGACTCACCAGAATCGACTTTCAGCGAAACAGAAATGAACCATAACGGCTCTCTTTTTGAGGTTCAGGGTGAAAAAGTCTCAGAAAGTAATGCAACAACATGGGAGCGTTGCATGTGTCATTCTCGCAACACGCACACCTAACAACACCAAACACGTACGTATTCAATACGATATATTTATAAAACTTTATCATTTATCATAGTAGAACATATGAATATAGTGAGGGGAGTCCTGTAAGTCAATTTGACACTACAGAGAGATACAAAGCCACATATTGACTGGCACTGAACTCACTATGAATGCAGCCTGAGTGATGTGGATTTCAATGACGTAGTTGCTGACGTTGACTGAAACACCAAGCTCTTTACGCTCAGAGACATGAACTCCTCCTTGTCGTGTATAGCACGTGGCTACAACTGGGTTACTGCTCCACTTCACATACAAATCGTAGTAAAAGTCCATGTTAGGGTCTTCAAACCAGACGTAGTTTCTGTAACAAAAACGAAACAAAATTATAAAGCAGGCATAGCTATTGTTAATTTAATATCATAAATTGGTGAAAGCCATGAAACTGTGTAGAGTGGTATGCTTGTCCTTAAATATTTATGGTTCTGATTAACATACCAAGGCTGCTCTGAATAAACATAATATCCAATGTGGTTAATAATCATGTTATGTGTCCTCGTGTCACATGTCCAGCTCAGAACGTGCATGTGTGTATTCGTGTGCAGAAATTACGAATACAAATGTTAGGTAAACATCTTCCCAACATAATCACTAAACATATCTGCTGCTGTTAAGTACATAAGTTTATGTAAATATTTTTCTCCTGACCTCCAAGTCATGTTTCCAGATACTTCAAGTCTCAGCTTCATCCCCACAGCAAGGTCAAAGGTCAACTCATCTGTATATGTCGTCGATGAATCTTGTTATTAAGAAAGGATATACACAAATCTAAATGTCATAGTTGAGAACATATAGGAATTACTTATATTTGACATCAAAGACATTTCATTTGGAGGTATCACTGCCATGTAACAGAACTGTTAAACTTGAAACTCTGTGTTTGTGTAACTAGTGTGTTAGGCTGTTTATTTTAACATTTAAGGCGTACAGGTTTATGCAGATGTGTCGGGACATAGTAACTTTTCAATGTGACACAATTTGATAACTGATACGTTACCATGGGCAGAGACTGCCTGTACGTTATACCTGATGCAACACCTTACTACTCTAAAATGTGTCAAAACAGGAAACTGTGTTTGTTTGTTTTTTGTTTTTTTTATTTCAGCGGTCCATAAATATGTGAATGAGGACCATTCAAACCAGTGATCGACTTCAGGAGAATCGATCAACACCTCACCAACATGTAACCAACATGTAACCAACCAAGTAACCGAGGCTGACCAACCAATCAAGTTTGGACTCTTTCAACAAGCGTGTGTTTCTGGGAATATACGTATATCCTCCTACTTGTAATCACCATGGTCACAATCACGTGTACATAACGATAAGCTGTAATTTTGTTGTCAAACGGAAATTGTGCGTAACGCTGAGACATTTTCACAAACTCCAACTTCGCAATAACATTTTAAACATGATACAGCTAGACATTGCAAAACTTCAGGCAATATTGTTTCTTAGGTAGACACCTATTTGATATAGTTGACAAAAAAGACATATATTTGTATGAATTTCCTCCTTGTTTTATTTATCATCCTCGCCAATATATAGCAAGAATGCACATTAATGTAAACCTACCATGTACGGTCTTGCCTTGGCTATGTAACACGACACACACTTGACTGGCACCACTTCCCACGATGCACCGGTATAACAGGAGGATGTGTTGTCGTCAGAGGCAATGATGTTGGTGTTGCAGACATCCTCATGGTCATCGTTGATGATGTCAACATCTACTCGTGCATTTTCAAGTTTATAGTTGGCACAGGAAACTGAGGACGAAGTAGGAATTGCTATATTTACATCACCAACGCACGCATCAGGGATCTCTGGACTTTGATGTTGTCTCGTTCGTGGAGGCAACCGTCCTGTACCGACTTCACGTAAATTGGAACATACATTCAATCACAGTCACATCACATAACTTTCATCTTGATGGAACCCGTATCTGCTGCAGTTAAACTTTCGGATAAAATGTCCTTTAACCATACCACTTAAAACAAACATTTGAATTCAAAGGACGAGTTATGTAATGACGTCCCACACCTTTTGAAGCACTTGTGTCGCAGAATGGCTCATTGAACTACCCCACTGGTATGTAACATTTAAAATATGTGTCAATTTAAGGCGGACTAACTTAGGTTTTCGTAGAAGTACAAGCCACCCCACTGGTATGTAACATTTAAAATATGTGTCAATTTAAGGCGGACTAACTTAGGTTTTCGTAGAAGTACAAGCCACCCCACTGGTATGTAACATTTAAAATATGTGTCAATTTAAGGCGGACTAACTTAGGTTTTCGTAGAAGTACAAGCCACCCCACTGCTGTGCGATGTATGTGTTAAACAAGAGGAAATGGTAAACATTAGTGGTGAATACGTCAACTAGTTATTGATATATATCTTGTTGCCATTAAAACTAGGAAAAGTATGTTTTTGCTAATATCTCAAACTATAAAAAGGGACTTGACCACTAAACAAATTTATGTGTAAAATATGGAGAAGAAGTATTTTAAAGATCTACACCCTATTTTTCACCCAAAGTTGTTGTCTTGGAAACTTGAAAAAAAATTCTTTTAAAACATCCCAAATTGCCAAAACTTATTTTTGTTGAAATTCCAAAACAATCAAAAGGTACCAGATCACCACTAGACCTATCTATATTCCAAGTCTGGTGAAGAATTATTGTAGTTTTCAAGATCTGCTCCGTAAACTAATTCTACCCCCATTCCCAGCCAAAGTTAAAGTTGATACCATGGAAACTCGAAAAACATTTTTTGTCAAAAATCAGAAACTATCAAAAAGCACCAGTTCAGCCCTAGACCCGTCTGTATGCAAAGAATACTAACGAAATATTGTATGGTTTTCAAAATCGGCTCCAGAAACGACATCTTGCTTTGCTGGGGATAATAAGCAGGACAATGTTATTTATATGAAAAAGTGAAAAAAAATACATTGAGTCTCGTTGAATTGTACCATGACGAAACACTTCAGCATCATGTCAAGTGTATCACAGAAACATACTGATGACGCCACATGTATCAATTCAGTATCATAATGTAAGATAAAATATCACTTTATTATCCCAAAGCACCTATCACTTTATTATCCCGAAGCACATATCACTTTATTTTCCTGAAGCACATATAACTTTATTATCCTAAAGAACATATCACTTAATTATCCCGAAGCACATATCACTTTATTATGCCGAAGCACATATCACTTTATTATCCTGGAGAAGATATCATTTTATTATCCCGAAGCACATATCACTTTATTATCCCCGAGCACATATCAATTTATTATCCCGAAGCACATATCACTATATTATCCAAAGAACATATCACTTTATTATCCCCAAGCACATATCAATTTATTATCCCGAAGGACATATCAATTTATTATCACGAAGCACATATCACATTATTATCCTGAAGCACATATCACATAAGTATCCCGAAGCACATATTATATTATTATCCCGAAGCACCTATCACTGTCTTATCCTGAAGCACATATCATCTTATTATCACGAAGCACATATCACTTTATTATCCCGAAGCACCTATCACTTTATTATCCCAAAGCACAAATCACTTTATTATCCTGAAGAAGATATCATTTTATTATCCGAAAGCACATATCACTTTATCATCCCGAAACATATCACTTTATTATCCCAAAGCACATATCATTTATTATCCCAAAGCACATATCACTTTATTATCCCGAAGCACTTATCACTTTCTTATCCAATGTACATATCACTTTATTATCCTGAAGCACATATCACTTTATTATCCCGAAGCACATATCACATTATTTTCCTGAAGCACGTATAAATTTATTATCCTAAAGAACATATCACTTAATTATACCGAAGCACATATCACTTTATTATGCCGAAGCACATATCACTTTATTATCCCAAAGCACATATCATTTTATTATCTCGAAGCACATATCATTTTATAATCCTGAATCACATATCACTTAATTATCCCAAAGCACATATCATTTTTTTATCCCGAAGCACATATCATTTTATTATCCTGAAGCACATATCACTTTATTATCCCAAAGCACATATCAATTTATTATCCTGAAGCACATATCACTATATTATCCAAAGAACATATCACTTTATTATCTCAAAGCACATGTACCTTTATTATCCTGAAACACATATCAATTTATTATCCCGAAGCTAATATCACTTTATTATCCCGAAATAAATACCACTTTATTATCCTGAAGAATATATCACTTTATTATGCCGAAGCACATATCACTTTAATATCCCGAAGCACCTATCACTTTATTATCCCGAAGCACATATCACTTTAATATCCTGAAGCACATATCACTTTAAAATCCTAAAGCACATATCACTTTATTATCCTGAAGCACATACCACTTTATTATCCAGAAGCACATATCACTTTGATATCCTGAAAAACATATCACTTTATTATCCTGAAGCACTTATCACTTTATTATCCCGAAGAACATCACTTTAATATCCTGAAGCACATACCACTTTATTATCCTGAAGCATATGTCACTTTAATATCCCGAAGCACATATTACATTATTATCCCGAAGCACCTATCACTTTATTATCCTGAAGCACATATCACTATATTATCCAAAGAACATATCACTTTATTATCTCGAAGCACATATAACTTTATTATCCCGAAGAACATATCACTTTACTATCCCGAAGCAAATATCACTCCCGAAGCTAATATCACTTTATTATCCCAAATACATACCACTTTATTATCCTGAAGAACATATAACTTTATTATCCCAAAGCTCATATCACTTTAATATCCCGAAGCACATATCACTTTATTATCCTGAAGTACATACAACTTTATTATCCTGAAGCACATATCACTTTATTATCCCAAAGTACATATCACTTTAAGTTATTATCCCGAAGCACATATCACTTTATTGTCCCGAAGCACAGATCACTTTATTATCCCGAAGCACATATCACTTTATTATCCTGAAGCACCTATAACTTTATTATCCTGAAGCACATATCACTTTATTATCCTGAAGCACATATCACTTTATTATCCTGAAGCACCTATCACTTTATTATCCTGAAGCACATATCACTTTATTATCCTGAAGCACCTATCACTTTATTATCCTGAAGCGCCTGTCACTTTATTATCCCAAAGCACAGATCACTTTATTATCCCGAAGCACATATCACTTGATTATCCTGAAGCTCCTATCACTTTATTAACCCAAAGCACCTATCACTTTATTATCCCGAAGCACCTATCACTTTATTATCCCGAAGCACATATTACTTTATTATCCTAAAGCACCTATCATCGTATTATCCGGAAGCACATATCACTTTATTATCCTGAAGCACATATCACTTTATTATCCTGAAGCACATATCACTTTATTATCTTTAAGCACATATCACTTTATTATTTTTAAGCACATATCACTTTATTATCCCGAAGCACATATCACATTATTTTCCTGAAGCACATATAACTTTATTATCCCGAAGCACATATCACTTTATTATGCCGAAGCACATATCACCCTATTATCCCAAACCACATATCAATTTATAATCCTGTAGCACATATCACTATATTATCCAAAGAACCTATCACTTTATTATCTCGAAGCACATATAACTTTATTATCCCGAAGAACATATCACTTTATTATCCCGAAGCACATATCACTTTATTACCCCAAAGCTAATATCACTTTATTATCCCGAAGTACATACCACTTTATTATCATGAAGAATATATCACTTTATAATCCTGAAACACATTTCACTTTATTATCCCGAAGCACTTATCACTTTATTATCCCGAAGTATATACCACTTTATTATCCTAAAGAACATATCACTTTATTATCCCAAAGCTCATATCACTTTAATATCCCGAAGCACATATCACTTTATTATCCCGAAGTACATACAACTTTATTATCCTGAAGCACATATCACTATATTATCCCAAAGTACCTATCACTTTAATTTATTATCCCGAAGCACATATCACTTTATTATCCCGAAGCACATATCACTTTATTATCCTGAAACACCTATCACTTTATTATCCTGAAGCACTTATCACTTTATTATCCTGAAGCACCTATCACTTTATTATACTGAAGCACAAATCACTTTATTATATTTAGGCACATATCACTTTATTATCTTTAAGCACATATCACTTTATTATCCCGAAGCACTTATCACTTTTATTATCCCCAAGCACATATCACTTTATTATCCCCAAGCACATATCACTTTATTATCCCCAAGCACATATCACTTTATTATCCTGAAGCACAGATCACTTTATTATCCTGAAACACCTATCACTTTATTATCCTGAAGGACATATCACTTTATTATCCTGAAGCACATTTCACTTTATTATCCTGAAGCACAAATCACTTTATTATATTTAGGCACATATCACTTTATTATCTTTAAGCACATATCACTTTATTATCCCGAAGCACTTATCACTTTATTATCACAAAGCACATATCACTTTATTATTCCCAAGCACATATCACTTTATTATCCCCAAGCACATATCACTTTATTATCCTGAAGCACATATCACTTTATTATCCCGAAGTACATACAACTTTATTATCCCGAAGCACAGATCACTTTATTATTCCGAAGCACATTTCACTTTATTATGCCGAAGCACATATCACTTTATTATCCCGAAGCACATATCACTTTATTATCCCGAAGCACCTATCATTTTATTATCCCGAAGCACCTATCACTTTATTATCCCGAAGCACCTATCACTTTATTATCCTTAATCACATATCACTTTATTATCCCGAAGTACATACAACTTTATTATCCCGAAGCACAGATCACTTTATTATTCCGAAGCACATTTCACTTTATTATGCCGAAGCACATATCACTTTATTATCCCGAAGCACATATCACTTTATTATCCCGAAGCACCTATCATTTTATTATCCCGAAGCACCTATCACTTTATTATCCCGAAGCACCTATCACTTTATTATCCTTAATCACATATCACTTTATTATCCCGAAGCACCTATCACTTTATTATCCCAAAGCACCTATCACTTTATTATCCCGAAGCATATATCAGTTTATTATCCCGAAACAAAAGGTTTCAGGTTATTGATAAACACACATCCAAATATATACGAGCATCACAGACGTAATTAGTGTTACATGTGCGACGAACGAATAAATGCTTAAGTATTATTAATCACAAAACTTCTTATAAAACCTAGAACCGGAAGTTGTGTTTGCCATATATCTGAATCAAGGATGGCGCCCAGATTTGTATACTTGTCTGAAACATCTGTCACCTCATTATCAATAACATCTGGAATAAAGGTTGTCTTTCCTAAAATTAAAATATATGACCATTTGTTTTGTTTTCTTGACATCTAAAAACAGATAACATTCTTACACACGGATGTAAAATTAGAAATTTCGTTTCTGTAATTTACTTCTGAATCTTTAATAACACCTGCGGGTGTAGCGTGTCATCTGCATATCTTACAGTAAAACAATTAACAAAACGGCTAAAATATTCATTGGTTTACACATTAATAAAATAGATGAGATGACACAACCTTGAGGTGGCCCGGTAGAAGTGCGAACTAGAGATGAGCGGGTGAACTTTACGGGGAACAACTGTGGCTTGTTTACAATAAATCATTTGACCCATTTTATAATATTTGAGTTGACATGCGCGTTGTTAAGCTTTTGTATGAGTGATTATGTTTGGCATTGAAAGCGGATTGAAAATCGACGAACAACTTTCTCAAATATGATTTACCGTTATCTAGATGGCCATAGATTTTATGCAGGAGAGTCTGTGCGGCGATGGCGTACATGGATGATATGATGCCTATCACTGGATTGTCTGGTCAAAACTCGATTAGTTACAAACCGCTGTTATGTAGCTGGAATATCGCTGAGTGTTGCGTCAAACAATAAACAACTAAAAAGAGCCATTAGTCATTCTGTAGGGTTGGGTTTTGCTTTATGGGGACAGGGACATGGACAATGTTAAAACTTTTCCAGCATACGTGGTCGGAATCTAGTGAACACTGAAAAAGTATTTTGTTAATATGCCCCGCAACGGCTCACTGCATTCTTTTAAAACTACACCATATAAATTATCCGTGCCGCACGCCTTATGTATGTTTAGAGCGGACAATATGGCTCAGTTACATTTTATATTGACTAAGTCATGCATTTCATTTCAGTATCATATTGACCCAGTCATGTGTATCACTTCAGTATCATATTGACCTTGTTATGTGTATCACTTATGTATCATTTTGACCGTGCCTTTGTTATCACTTCTTTAGACATTTAATCATTTTAGATAGTTGTTAATTTTCTAATTATTCATCAATACTCACTTCCATAGTACTGCCATCCAGTTTCAACGGTGCCGTCACGGCTCGAGTTAAAGCATTCAGAGTGTACCCTGCACGTCCTGGTGAGCGGGTTGTACAAGACCAGGTTACACCGCACCCGCCACTGACACTGAGAGAAACACTTAGCCCTCATGTCCACCTGGTTGATCTCTTCTATCAGGCTCCCGGCAAACACCAGATCATCCATCTCATACCTCCTATAGAAAGTCCCATTAGTGCAACTGTCCGAATTGTAAAATAGCTGACTTAAAACGTATTGAAATTTCAACGCTAATAACAAAATGGTAGACACTTGAAATAAGGCCATGGTGGGACGTATTCAAGTGATAATTCTCATCTGAGTGGGAATAGTGTTAACCCATTGCATTATATACACAGACGAGTGGTTTCTGAATCACTAAGTGAAGAATCGCCTCTTCTGTCTTGTCTTCGTTTCTATGTGATCATGTCTTCTTTAAAACTCTCACGAACGCTCTCTTGTCAATTAATCGACGTTGCGATCTTCCTAATGAGCAAACACGTATTTATCACAAAGGGAGATGCAATTTCGAAAAATGTCCTCATGTGTTTTCTTTTGCTCTAGGACCCGTCTATGTACACTGGCGTTACACTGTTTGAAATCTTTGATCCTTGAGACTTTGTTGTCTTCGGGTGTATTACGGAGCCTAATGATATTCATACATAAACAAGAAGTTTTAAAGGCAAACAGATAAAATCGAAACAATCATACCGAAGCCTTGTCCTTGGCTGCACTTATGCACAGACAGACAGGTAGGAGGTGAGGTGAAATTGAGTTTAACGTCGCGTCCAAGATTATTGCACTCATATAGCGACGTGCATGCACGTGTATGTGTGTGTGTGGCTGCTTGTACTAGTCCGGACTGATGCCGATTTATAGTGCTAGCTCACTGAGATACCATGCCGCAGTTTAACATGAATACCCCACTCAGACACAGTATACTGACTCCGAGCCGACCAGTCCTTGTTTAAGCCCCTTAATGCCGAGCGCCAGACAGGTAACAACAAGTACAATCTTTTAACGTCTTTTTGTATGACGCGGCCCGGGATCGAACCCTGGACCTTCCGCTCTCCGGGCGGACGCTCTACCACAAGACCACGGAGGAGGTGACAGGTAGGAGGATGGGATGGAGGGTTGTGTGGAGAACGATCAGGGTTACAGGCAGATGACTTTGTAAAGATACTAAAGGTTATGCCCATGTTATTGCTAGAAACAGTCACGTCTTACGGGTAGCGCAGGTGTATGTTCCTCAGGGAAAGATATTTCAATACTCACAAATTCATACACAATGAAAAACATAAATAAGTAAATAAACAAAAAATATACATGCAGGTAAATAAACAAACAAATAATTTTATAAAAAGAAAAGTGTAAAGAAGCTTAAAATACATCATCTAGTCTGCAGAGAAAGAGGTGTGTAACCACAACCACAAACGTAACCACCTGCTGTTAGTTGGACGTGCAGGACATGAAGACTGACATGCATCATTGCAAACATCTTTAATTGTGTTGTACATACACAAATTATGAATAATAGGACGTTGGTCTGAAAACTGATGGTTTAGCCATGGAGGTTCAAGCAGTAGACTTTCTACAACCATTTGATCAGTTTTTCAGTGTAATCTATATCGTTCCCATGCAGAGAAAGCATCTTAGTAATAGTGGAATATTCTTCACTATTGGGCCCTAATCAGGCAAGAATGTTGACTGGAACACAACACGGTTTACCGAAGTTTCGTTTACAAGTTGAAATCTTCAGTGAATCAAAAGAAGTTGCTAGGGCAGTCGTCGGAATCGTGGTGCACTCAGGTCTATTATTCAAGATGAAATTTAATACAGATTATCTCATGAGGATGATGCAGGGCCGAGGTGATATCGCCAGGGTAGATAGTGCTGAGGTTTTTATCACTGTAATCTTTACAGTTAATGTAAGTTTCTGTTTCTCCAGTCTCCAAACAAATGTAAAATAGTTGAATTCTTTTTCTCGTATATTTTACCCATAAATCATCTAATTACGGTGTTGAAAGTTATCCCCTGAACCTCAAAGTTTATTTGATGCCATTTGAAGACGTATTGTTGACATAACTTAACCTGAGTGCCTGACATCAGTCCAATCCAAATTGCCATGGCTAAAAAATGTAAATTGCCCAATCCGACATTCTGCAAAAAGATCCATTGAAACTATTACCTGAATGGGCCATGAAAAGTATCATCTGCACATTGTCGAAGCTTGTGCTCTTTGTCATTCAATACTACTCATTAAATATAATGTTATATTATAATACCCCATGGCGAAATAGTATCCTACAGACTCTGGAGTTAAGGATAAAATCTGAAAGGTGGTCATTTGGGATAACACGATTTGACATTTTTACTTCAAACCTTACTTTCGTCATCGCTTGTATTATTACTCGGTGGTTGGTTTTGGTAAAATTATGTTTGTTTATTTAATAACAGGTTTCCGTCTGTCATAACATCAGTTTCAGAAATGAAACTATTGAAAGACTTGCTTATGAAACTTCGGTTTTCCAAATTAATGACGATAAATATTTACCTGTTTTTTTTATCTCATTCTTGTTACTAAAGGTTTCAGTTTCTTGTTTGTATTCTTCTCTTCTCGTCCTCTTTTGTTTGTTCGTATTCATGTTTATATGTCTAAAAGTCTGCCAGGAGCGGTTCATCAATGTATATGTAAGCTATTTCGAACTGAATCTTCTATGTCCTGTATTTTCCACACAAGGTCCGTCGTCTTCATATTGCTTTCTTTCTATAGAAGAGTAGGCTATTGATCTAACTTTCTTTAATAGGGTTTCAAGAAATAAACAGTCATCAATATTTATGTTAAGTTTCAGGTCGCCAATATTATATTGTGGCAAAATAGTCTTCCTTGGTTTCATCAATAATATCCTCAACAATATACAGATGATCCGTATCATGTGTTCAAGTTCCAATATTCCCGACCTCTTGATTTATTTTTGGTGGAAAAAGTAAGAGTGATAACTGAATTATCTGATTTATATACGGGAAGAATTTCTGCATGAGTTGACACGTTAGGTATATCCTGAAAGACAACAAAGTGATCATGTCTATTTCAAAGAATCTTCATGAAACTCACGCCATCAGCTAAATAAAAATAACATTTATCCACTCTTTCCATCAATAATGGTTAGAGGAGTAGTAAAGTGAAAACAATGATTGCAATTTTGTTGCGAATTAATTTTTCAAAGATACATTTAGTCAATTTCCGAGAGAGGAAACTTCATTATATTCCCAGAAAATACTTAAATGTTCCAGTGAAAGTGTTGAATATCACGCTCCATAATCGGCTTCCAAAACAAACCTTTTTTGGAGGCATGGTTTATAGATGAGGCAACAACTTCTTTTTATTGGCTGATATCCTTGTCGCGTATATCAGCTTGTGATTCTTAGCCGTTGTACATATACTGTTTCTGCTATTTCTGTTAATCACACAATAATACCAACATTGCATACATTGTTGAATGTGTGAAACGACCTTGATCTTGACGTAAAAATAACAGTTACCAATGGTAACTAGCGATTTATTACTAATGTCCTGCTTTGATAATAAATCATCAGCTAACCTCGGCGCTATTCCACACAATAAATTTCTCTCAGGGATTAATGCCCTGAGTGAACAACTGAAGGCACATTCGGTGTGCTTACTAAGGTGACATAAGTTGTGGACAATGTATTAAAAAAATCGAAGCAGACGCAGGCTTACTGGGCGTCGGTATGATCATTATGATCGTTCGAATTGCGCAGCGCATCAAACACCGGGTAATCTCAGTTAGGAGGATCCCACCAATGGTCGGTATGATCATTATGATCGTTGAGATTTATCGTTAAGGGGACGGTTTCGCCAGTCGTGTTTTTATCGCCAGTTGTAACATCTGTTTTCAAATATGATTTTGGTCGAGAATTTGTGATTAAATATGCCTTAAAGTATTAATATATGCACAGTTTCTTTGTTTACTTTAGTTTCCTTTTAGGTTGTTGTCAATAGTTCTCCAAGTCTGTTGCAGGGTTTAACAGCATCGTGTCGTCCTCAAATATCGCAATATATTCATTTTTTAATTCATCCAATCTCTCAAAGATGAAGTCGTAAAATGTCGGATTGTCACACTTTAGGCCATATATTATCTGGTCAACCTTGTTCCGTAAATAGTTATGTCAATAATAATAAAGTTTTTGTTTTCATCCTTCTTATGTTTTATGTATATCCATATCAACACTGTCTTTCACCTAAATTGCTACCCCCTGGACTTCAATGGTGCAATGACACTGTTTTATCCCCATTCGCTCATCCTTGTGCTTTCATCACTAGAACATGTATGTCCTGTAAGCATATAAATGAAGCCTGTCGTTTGGGGCAAATATTCTTTTACCTTTTCATTCATTGTTGTTAGCTAGGCCTCTGTAGTCTGTGAAATAATTTACATCTTGTTATCCATTAACAAAGATGTACTGTGCACTGCTGAAATTGTCTTTAGGAAATATATATACCAAATTAGATGGGGTTTCTTTGTTGATTTTTTTGGTTGCGAAAAGGACAAATAACCGAATATAAAACAAGAGACGAGACAAAAACAACAAGGTCGTTTACCGATAAGCCCTGGGCAATACCACCCCCATCCTTATCAATAATTAAGGGTCATATATTTACCATATCAAAACATACCAAAAAATGCTTTGTCGTCTTACTCTACATACAAGATCAGTTGTATAACGTGTTTACGAACTCATAATATTTTTTTGAGATACAGTTTGAATTGGGCCAACTAGATATGGAAGCATAGCGCATGTTAATAGTATATGGCTGTACACTGAACTAAGATAATACGATTGTTTCACTGCTAGGAAGGTTAATGATTTTAGACATTCCTTCCTTGCACTACGTTTGTCTGCTGTTTAACGCAGCATTCAGAAATACAGCTGTTCGTTCGTTCGTTCGTTCGTTCGTTCAGGGATTTAACGTGTGCTTTCCGCATGTAATAAATTACATTTAGCGTATCTCGCACACGGGGAAGCGCTTATACTAAATAGGAAAAAAAAGCGTAATGAATAGATAAGAAGTGCGACCCCAAAAAATGTAAATGAAGTAAACCTAAAAATTTAATCTAGGGGGTAGGGTTTGGCTTGGTGGGTCGGGGGTAGTAAAAGAATAATAATAATGTGGAAAAGTTGGGCTTGGGTGTGTGTGTGTGTGTGGGGGGGGGGGGGGGGGGGGGGGTCAAGCGTGGGAAGGTGGCGAGCTGGTGTGGCGAAGGAAGTTACTGCTTCTTCCCAGCCAGGAGCCTCCGGGAGGAAGAGCTCGGAACAGTGCGGTGGTGAGGCGGGCGGCGGCGTTTGTGATGAAGAGTGGACTGACTGGGCGATCACAGTCAACCAGGAATTCCGAGAGATCCTGGTAGCTGTGAATCTCGTGCTTAAATCTTTCTTCACCCCAGTACTGCATCAGCACCAAGGGAGGGCGTGGGCGGTTGCTGGGATAGATCTTGCCGCTCTCATGCTGGTAGCAGGGGTTAGGGTGGACCTTGTGCTGCTCCAGGATGAGGCTGGCCTTCTGGGCAAGGTGGGCACGGACGTCTACCTCAACATCTTGTTCCGGGACCGGGTCGGTCTGGACTTGGCTGGTGTTGAGGGAGGGGCCTGGTGTTGTGGCGGTCTGAGTCTCCGTGTTCTTGCAGACATATTGATATTCTCCTCCTGATTAAACGTGATTGATCATTTGCCGAAATGTATTAATAGTATTTTAGTTGAGCCACATCCTTTTGTAATGAATAATAAATGCATTGACTTTTTTCAAATATTTTGGTTATTCGTGTCTTAAACTTACAATCAAAGCTGACATATATGAGGTGAAGGGGAGACGGGTGAGGGAAACGGATATATATATATATATATATATATATATAGAGAGAGAGAGAGAGAGAGAGAGAGAGAGAGAGAGAGAGAGAGAGAGAGATACAGCCATCAGTCAGAAAGAGAGGGCTAGAGAGAGAAGGGGGCTGAGAGAGAGAGAGAGAGAGAGAGAGAGACATATAGACAGACATACAGACAGAAAGAGAGGGCTAGAGAGAGAAGGGGGCTGAGAGAGATGAGAGAGAGAGATAAAGAGAAAGAGACAGATATATAGATGGACATAAAGGAGACAGATGAGAGAGGGGGAAGGAGAGAAGAAGAAAACAAATTGCAATAGAGAGAGAGAGAGAACGTTAGAGATGCAGTTCCTGATTAAGGGGGAACGATCAATTGCCGAAAATTATTGACATTATTTTAGAAGGGGAACATACCTTTGTCATCAACAACAAATGTATTCACTCTTGTCGAAAATTGGGCTATTCTCGTCGAGAACTTCCCATCGTAGCTGACATACATCATGTCCTGAGACGATCTCCTCGTACATGAACAGGTGTAGTACACACGCCTGAAACACATTCATTTACAAACAGGTGAGCTAGAAGACATTTCCTTCAGAAGGTAGCTGGACATGTACAATATATGTTAAACAACAATATGTTACAAACCGAACTAAAGCTCATCTACCTCAAAACAAAGTAAGTGCCTGTTTATTTTGTATCGAGTTGTAAATAATATATATTAGTTGTAAACATTACTATTATTTTTAGAACATATATTATCAATAGTTAAAGCATCAAACCTGTTGAATTTGTCGAGGTATAGATGGCTACTTCTGGTAAATTCCCCTCGAACTAATTCTTCTGATTCACATTTTGAAGCATTACATCTGTGAAGGGCTTTGTCAGATAATATAAACAGACGGTTGATGCTGTTGTCGATATCAAATGTAATCGCTCGGACTGAAAGCAAAAACATTTGTAGCAATATGATGAGCAGCATTCAGTTCCGACTACATGATATCACACTTTCAAGTGGTGTTGGTGAACTGTTTGGTAACATTAATGGTCATCCATGACTTTACCCACAATCAACCCCGTTGTAATGTACGGGGAATGTAGCTTCAATGTCACAGTCAACGTGGCTCCTTTCAAATATACACTATTTTGTATCAGCAAGATCAATTATCGTTTGTCCATGTGGTACACGAATTATCTGACACAAATGCACTGATACAATCAGGCGTTTTTCACTTAATGCCTTTTCTAAGGCTGAGTTATCGAAACAAACCACAAAACTGAAAATGACGACTGATCATATATCAAGTCTTTGAATGGCATTTAGAAGTAATACACAATGTAGAGATTTTATGGATGTCAACTTCTTTATCATGAGGAACACATCGTTTTGTGGAATATACTTACTCCTTCATCAGGTGTATAAATTAAGTTTCCACCTTTGTTTCCTTTTTACTTTTGTGTTTTCACAGGAATATATGTGTTCTCTGCTTAATGGCATTTATCAACGCTGTGGGCCCCATAGTAAAGAAGTTGCCATCCATACATTCTCTTCCTTGAGTGATATTTTGTTCCCTTGTCGTTTTTTTCTGATTCTATTTTGGACATAACATAACTGTAACCAGGGTCACGCTGTATATCAATGCCTTCCCTAATCTGATATATATCACAAAACTATCACTGTCACAGTGTACTCTGAGGTCTCGTCTGTTATTGGATCATCACCAATGTATCAGAAACAAGTTCGGTACCATCGTAACTGAATGTGTTTACAAAAAAAACCTTGCTGTGATTCTATGAATGATAGTTACAGAACGTGCAAAATTACTTTGTCTCTTCTTCAACATTTAGCAGATAAATACAGATATAAAAGATATGCCGCCCCCAAAAAATAAAAAGTCAACCAGTCAATTTAAAAATAAAATAACAAGAAACTCACATGGCAATTTCCAATGATAGAATTTTTTTCCCTTCTCACTGTTCGCTTTTGTCGATGAGATAGATTTTGCATAGAGGGATCTTGTCCAGTACACAGTGTTTATTGTTTGGTGGTAGTGGACCTCATATACTTTGTAACTTAAGGTGTAGGTTTCTATCTGGGTGGTGTGGACGATGCCCGGCCCTGACACAAACGTGAACTTACACAGACGGCCATTCTTACACATCATGAACAGTATCTGTAAAGAAGAAAACAATCCGTCACATTGCCAACATTACATTACACCCTCTGATGCCACGTGGTGGCAAGTATTAAGAAACATAGCCATCATTCAAGATTACCCTGCGTTCCGATTAACAAAGTTCCTGATGTGTATCACCCGACTACCCAGTACCTGATGTGGATCTACCGACTACCTAGTACCTGATGTGTATCACCCAATTACCCAGTACCTGATGTGGATCTACGGAGTACCCAGTACCTGATGTGTATCACCCGACTACCCAGAACCTGATGTGTATCACCCGCTTGCCAAGTTCATGATGTGTATCATCCGACTACCTAGTACCTGATGTGTATCAACCGATTTTCCTAGTATCTGATGTGTATCACCCGACTACCCAGTACCTGATGTGTATCATTCGACTACAAAGTACCTGATGTGTATCACCCGACTACACAGTACCTGATGTGGATCTATCGACTACACAGTACCACATGTGTATCACCCGACTACAGAGTACCTGATGTGTATCAACCGACTACCCAGTACCTGATCTGTATCACCCGACTACCCAGTGCCTGATGTGTATCACCCGACTACAAAGTTCCTGATGTGTATCATCCGACTACCTAGTACTTGCCGTGTATCAACCAACTATCTACTACCTGATGTGTATTATCCGACTACCCAGTACCCGATCTGTATCAAATGTCATTTGACGACAACCTAGTACCTGATGTGTATCGCCCGACTACCTCGTACATGATGTGTATCAACCGACTACCCAGTACCTAATGTGTATCATCCGATTCACCAGTACCTGATATGTATCAACCGACTACCCAGTACCTGATGTGTATCATCCGACTACCCAGTACCTGATGTGTATCATCCGACTACCCAGTACATGATGTGCATCAACCGACTACCTCGTACCTGATCTGTATCAACCGACTACCCAGTACCTGATATGTATCAACCCACTACCCAGTACCTGATGTGCATCAACCGACTACCCACCAGTACCTGATGTGCATCAACCGACTACCTCGTACCTGATCTGTATCAACCGACTACCCAGTACCTGATATGTATCAACCCACTACCCAGTACCTGATGTGCATCAACCGACTACCCAGTACCTGATGTGCATCAACCGACTACCCAGTACCTGATGTGCATCAACCGACTACCCAGTACCTGATGTGTATCATCCGACTGCCAAGTACCTGATGTGTATCATTTGACTACCAAGTACCTTAAGTGTACCATTCGAGGTCCCAGTACCTGATGTCTACCAAAAGACTACCTAGTACCTGCCGTGTATCATCTGACTAACCAATATGATGTTTATCAACCGACTACCTCGTACCTAATGTGTATCACCCAACTACCCACTACTGATGTTTATCACCCGACTACCTCGTACCTAATGTCTATCACCCAACTACCCACTACTGATGTGTATCACCCGACTACCTCGTACCTAATGTGTATCACCCAACTCACCAGTTCCCCTCTGTTTCAACCGACTACCTCCTACCTGATGTGTATCACCCGACTACCCAGTACCTGATGTGTATCACCCGCTTACCAAGTACCTGATTCGTATCAGGCAACTACCCAGTACCTGATGTGCATCACCCGACTACCCAGTACCTGATGTGTATCACCCGACTACCCAGTACCTGATGTGTATCACCCGACTACCCAGTACCTGATGTGTATCACCCGACTACCCACTACCTGATGTGTATCACCCGACTACCCAGTACCTGATATGTATCACCCGACTACCCAGTACCTGATGTGTATCATCCGACTACCCAATACCTGATGCGTATCAGGCAACTACCCAGTACCTGATGTGTATTAACCGACTACCTAGTACCTTATGCGTATCAGGCAACTACCCAGTACCTGATGTGCATCACTCGACTACCCAGTACCTGATGCGTATCAGGCAACTACCAAGTACCTGATGTGTATCACCCGACTACCCAGTACCTGATGTGTATCACCCGACTACCCAGTACCTGATGCGTATCAGGCAACTACCCAGTACCTGATGTGTATCAACCGACTACCCAGTACATGATGTGTATCAACCGACTACCCAGTACCTCATGTGTATCAACCGACTACCCAGTACCTGATGTGTATCACCCGACTACCCAGTACCTGATTCGTATCAGGCAACTACCCAGTACCTGATGTGCATCACCCGACTACCCAGTACCTGATGTGTATCACCCGACTACCCAGTACCTGATGTGTATCACCCGACTACCCAGTACCTGATGTGTATCACCCGACTACCCAGTACCTGATGTGTATCATCCGACTACCCAATACCTGATGCGTATCAGGCAACTACCCAGTACCTGATGTGCATCACTCGACTACACAGTACCTGATGCGTATCAGGCAACTACCCAGTACCTGATGTGTATCACCCGACTACCCAGTACCTGATGTGTATCACCCGACTACCCAGTACCTGATGCGTATCAGGCAACTACCCAGTACCTGATGTGTATCAACCGACTACCCAGTACATGATGTGTATCAACCGACTACCCAGTACCTGATGTGTATCAACCGAATACCCAGTACCTGATGTGTATCACCCGACTACCCAGTACCTGATTCGTATCAGGCAACTACCCAGTACCTGATCTGTATCAACCGACTACCTAGTACCTGATGCGTATCAGGCAACTACCCAGTACCTGATGTGCATCACCCGACTACCCAGTACCTGATGCGTATCACCCGACTACCCAGTACCTGGTGTGTATCATCCGACTACCCAGTGCCTGATGTGTATCACCAGACTACCTAGTACCTGATGTGTATCACCCGACTTCCTAGTACCTGATGTGTTTCCCCCGACTACCCAGTACCTGGTGTGTATCACCCGACTACCCAATACCTGATGTGTATCACCCGACTACCCAGTACCTGATGTCCGTCACCCGACTACCCAGTACCTGATGTCCATCACCCGACTACCCAGTACCTGATGTGTATCACACAACTACTCAGTACCGGATGTGTATCACACAACTACCCAGTACCTGATGTGTATCACACAACTACCCAGTACCTGATGTGTATCACCCGACTGCCCAGTACCTGATGTCCATCACCCGACTACCCAGTACCTCATGTCCATCACCCGACTACCCAATACCTGATGTGTATCAACCGACTACCCAGTACCTGATGTGTATCACACAACTACCCAGTACCTGATGTGTATCACCCGACTACCCAGTACCTAATGTGAATCACCCGACTACCCAGTACCTGATGTGTATCACACAACTACCCAGTACCTGATGTGTATCACCCGACTACCCAGTACCGGATGTGTATTACCCGACTACCCAGTACCTGATGTCCATCACCCGACTACCAAGTACCTGATGTGTATCACACAACTACCCAGTACCTGATGTGTATCACCCGACTACCCAGTACCTGATGTGAATCACCCGACTACCCAGTACCTGATGTGTATCACACAACTACCCAGTACCTGATGTATATCACATGACTACCCAGTACCTGATGCGTATCAGGCAACTACCCAGTACCTGATGTGTATTAACCGACTACCTAGTACCTGATGCGTATCAGGCAACTACCCAGTACCTGATGTGCATCACCCGACTACCCAGTACCTGATGCGTATCACCCGACTACCCAGTACCTGGTGTGTATCATCCGACTACCCAGTGCCTGATGTGTATCACCCGACTTCCTAGTACCTGATGTGTTTCCCCCGACTACCCAGTACCTGATGTGTATCAACCGACTACCCAGTACCTGATGTCCATCACCCGACTACCCAGTACCTGATGTGTATCCCCCGACTACCCAGTACCTGGTGTGTATCACCCGACTACCCAATACCTGATGCGTATCACCCGACTACCCAGTACCTGGTGTGTATCACCCGACTACCCAATACCTGATGTGTATCACCCGACTACCCAGTACCTGGTGTGTATCACCCGACTACCCAATACCTGATGTGTATCACCCGACTACCCAGTACCTGATGTCCATCACCCGACTACCCAGTACCTGATGCCCATCACCCGACTACCCAGTACCTGATGTGTATCACACAACTACCCAGTACCGGATGTGTATCACACAACTACCCAGTACCTGATGTGTATCACACAACTACCCAGTACCTGATGTGTATCACCCGACTGCCCAGTACCTCATGTCCATCACCCGACTACCCAGTACCTCATGTCCATCACCCGACTACCCAATACCTGATGTGTATCAACCGACTACCCAGTACCTGATGTGTATCACACAACTACCCAGTACCTGATGTGTATCACCCGACTACCCAGTACCTAATGTGAATCACCCGACTACCCAGTACCTGATGTGTATCACACAACTACCCAGTACCTGATGTGTATCACCCGACTACCCAGTACCGGATGTGTATTACCCGACTACCCAGTACCTGATGTCCATCACCCGACTACCAAGTACCTGATGTGTATCACACAACTACCCAGTACCTGATGTGTATCACACAACTACCCAGTACCTGATGTGAATCACCCGACTACCCAGTACCTGATGTGTATCACACAACTACCCAGTACCTGATGTGTATCACCCGACTACCCAGTACCTGATGTGTATCACCAAGCTACCCAGTACCTGATGTGTATCACCCGAGATGATGGCTGCCTACTCTAGCATCACATGGAACGCGGGTTATAATAGTTAATTCTCATGTTCAAGATGTACACAAAATTGGCATAATATTCCTGACATCATATAACTCTCTGTGCAATAAGTAATATAGAATGTGGTGTATGCACTTAAAATACTACACATACCAAGGGCGACAACTCTTGAGACCCTGATGGTTGTTAAATATCCACTGTAACTTCGCAAAAAATACATACAAAGGATAGCTATTGCAATGTGAAAACGCTACGTCTTCTGCAAAAGCGACGGATATGATT